GTTTTTGTTGTTAAAAAGCAGTATTATTTTAACAATGAGTTTTTAAACTGTTAAAGGATCTTACTCGTGTGTTTTTGTTGTTAAAAAGCAGTATTATTTTAACAATGAGTTTTTAAACTGTTAAAGGATCTTACTCGTGTGTTTTTGTTGTTAAAAAGCAGTATTAATTTAACAATGAGTTTTTAAACTGTTAAAGGATCTTACTCGTGTGTTTTTGTTGTTAAAAAGCAGTATTAATTTAACAATGAGTTTTTAAACTGTTAAAGGATCTTACTCGTGTGTTTTTGTTGTTAAAAAGACGTATTATTATAACAATGCGTTTTTAAACTGTTAAATGATCTTACTCGTGTGTTGTTTGTTGTTAAAAAGAAGTATTATTTTGATAGTGCGTTTTTAAACTGTTAAGAACTCCTAATAATGTGTCTTATGATAAAAGACCAACTTAAGTTTTCATTTCTGTTGAGACGTCGGTGGAGGCGTGGCAAGATAGACAATATTGTAATAGGTTAATTGGGTGGGAACCTAGTGTTGAGAAAATTTGGGACTCCCCGTGTTAGAGAATCAATAATAAAAACACAAACTTTCTGTTATATGATATGGAATACTACTTTGAATTTGTAATCGTCCCCCGTGGGACAGTATTAAGTCTTCCGATTTACAACGCTAAAGTCAGGGGTTCGATTCCTCTCGGCGAACACAGCAGATAGTCCATTGTGGCTTTGCTTGAACAAAACACACAAATTTGTAGTCTCGTTGAGCCATCTATTGGACTTTTCATACTTTACTTATTATTATTTTTTTTTTACTTCCCAGCTAATGTGATTTTATTAACTATCAATATCTTAGATTTGATGGCGTTCAGACATTTAAGCCACAAATATGATCACGTATAAATGGGCAAACGCAAGTGAGACAAAGAAAGAAAGTGTAAAGCAAAGGAAGGAGTATTTTATTTTTTTCTTTACTACATGTATTCGAAGATCAAATCACTTTTTACTGCCTTTTGTGTACTTTAAATATCAATTACACGAATAACTTGACGTATATTTAAATAATGAAAATTTGACCTTTTGTTTTCTACATGTTATAATTTTCGTTATACAATCGGCGTTTGAGAAAACCCTCGAAACCAGCGTTGTCGATCTCATCAAGATTTCGTTTACGATGGCCAGCTAGACTGTGGCGACGCTTCAGAAAACTTCTAAATCCAGCGTTGTCGATCTCGTCCATGTTGCGTTTGGCAAATCCATTGAATCCAACGTTGTCTATTTCGTCAAAATTTCTCTTGCTCGTACCCAGGGCTGCTCCACCCAGGGAATCAAACCTTTTGGAATAACCCAATGACGATCCACTTAAGGAGTCAAAACTTCTCTTCGAATTCGATGTTTTAGCAAGAGAATTCTCTCTCGTAGTAGAAACCAAAGCTTTCATGATGTCATTTCCTTTGAGACTGTCGAAGAGCCGTAGAAATCTTCCTTCACTTATTTCGTCTAAAACTCGCAAGATGTCACTACTTTCAAAGATATCCAGCACATGATTCTTCATCAAAAAACGCAAGACATCTCCACCTGTCAGAGTATGTAGTTTGTAGAAAGTTTGGTACATAGGCTGATGATCCACCTGTAAGGAAAATTTGACAATTTCTATCATTCATTTTTATTTAGCGAATGAATGTTTACTTTTGTTGTCGTCAAGTAAAAATATAAAATGTGATAAAACGACAGATATCTTTAGATCATAATACAGACCTGTTTACTGTACTTCATTTGCTGGAAGCACTTGGGTTACGGTTATCGACTTTATTGTACCGTGATTCATCTAGAGCCTATTTGGTTTCTAAGAATCTTACCATATTTTGATTAAATGTTATTAGTTTCAATTCACAACAACAACAAAAAAATTCTATCAATAATTTGTTAACTATTTCATTATATACAATTAAATTTCACTTAAATCTCCTAAAACATGATATTACGATCATTATACGTCTTATTTTCAACATTACTAATCAATCTTTCAAACTATACCAGGCCCGCCATAGCCAGGTGGTTAGGGTACTTGAGTCGCAATCTGAAAGTCGCGGGTTCGAATCTCCATTCTACCAAAAATGTCGCGGGAGCGTTATAATACGACAGTCAATCCCACTATTCGTTGGTAAGAGAGTACCCCAAGAGTTGGCGGTGTGAGGTGATGATTAGCTGTCTTCCCTCTACTCTTTCACTGCTAAATTAGGGACGGCTAGCGCAGGTAGCCCTCGTGTAGCCTTAAAAAAAAAAAAAACCTAACCCAAGTTCTTTTAGAAGATGAAGTACAATAAACAAGAAAACCTAACCCATGTGCTTTCAGGAGATGAAGTACAATAAACCGGATAACCTAACCCAAGTGCTTTTAGAAGATGAAGTACAATAAACTCGATAACCCTAACCCAAGTGCTTCCAGCAAATGAAATACAGTAAACAGGAAAACCTAACCCAAGTTCGTTTGGAAGATGAAGTACAATAAACAAGAAAACCTAACCCATGTGCTTTCAGGAGATGAAGTACAATAAACCGGATAACCTAACCCAAGTGCTTTTAGAAGATGAAGTACAATAAACTAGATAACCCTAACCCGTGTGTTTCCAGCAGATGAAGTACAATAAACTGGATAACCCTAACCAGTGTGCTTCCAGCAGATGAAGTACAATAAACTGGATAACGCTAACCCATGTGCTTTCAGGAGATGAAGTACAATAAACTAGATAACCTTAACACATGTGCTTCCAGCAGATGAAGTACAATAAACCGGATAACCTAACCCATGTGCTTCCAGCAGATGAAGTACAATAAACTGGATAACCCTAACACATGTGCTTCCAGCAGATGAAGTACAATAAACTGGATAACCCTAACCCAAGTTCGTTTGGAAGATGAAGTACAATAAACTGGATAACCTTAACACATGTGCTTCCAGCAGATGAAGTACAATAAACTGGATAACCCTAACCCGTGTGTTTCCAGCAGATGAAGTACAATAAACTGGATAACCCTAACCAGTGTGCTTCCAGCAGATGAAGTACAATAAACTGGATAACGCTAACCCATGTGCGTCGAC